GAATTTTTTTTTATAAATACGGTGATCTGTTCCGCATGGCTCAGAGGCTGAACACGCACTGACTAACTCGTCTCAAGTTTGATTACGCGAGCTGATCTCAGTCTGACGTCGCTGAGTTTACTCAGCTGTAACTGATACCTGGACAGGATCGAGTGCTAACATGGCTAGCAATAGTGCTGACCACACAATCCCTTTATACCCTAAAAAAAGAACTATCTGCCAAACAGTGACCGATATAGTTGAGATAATTATAGCAATTTGTTACTGACGACTATTTGATGTCACACCCTGAGTGACGTAGGCAGATGTCTCGCGCTAAGCGTAAGCTATCAGCAACAGTGTACACATCCCACCTTAAATAATTTAAGTTATTAAAATCATTATTGAATAGGTGTCTGTCTATACATACATATATATATACATATATATATATATATATATATATATATATATATATATATATATATATATGTTTATATGTATGTATTTGCACATATAAGTGTGCGTATGTATGCTAATATAATAATGTACATTCAACTATGAATAACCAAGGTACTTAAGAACACTTAAGCGAACATCACTTAGACGAGAATATTTTACCATAAATGTTAACATTTACGACAAGAAAGCTGGATTACGTACAGCCAAATATTTATAAAATATAAACATCAATTCTCCTTCTTCTAGCTAAATACAAAGAAAGAAAAAAAATTACCACTGAGCACCCCCTCCCACCCCAACTGGCTACGCCACTGGTGAACTAATAACCCCAGCGAGGCGGGAGAATAGAGACCATGTTATTGTTATATACTCGCCTAATGTTATTGTTACATACTCGCCCTAATGTTATTGTTACATAATCGCCCTAATGTTATTGTTATATACTCGCCTTAACGTTATTGTTACATACTCGCCCTAATGTTATTGTCAAATACTCGCCTTAATGTATTAGCAGCGTAGTTGACCCTAAGCCCAGCCACCTAACACCTCCCCTACTGTTTCATTATTCACAACAATGCAATGTTGCTATTCAAAACAATACAATGCTGCTAATCTCAACAATGTAATATTGTTATTCACAAAAAAAAGTAATGTTGTTATTCACAACAATGTAATGTTGTTTTTTTCACTATAAGAGAAAAAACAACAACAAACAATTGATGGTAAGGTCACGACCGCCCTAAATAACGTAATGAGTCAAACAGTTTGTTGGAGGGTGGGGGGGGGGGTGAGACTTGTGATGTTGGGCTATGTGGGGGGGGGGGGGGGGGGTTAGGCTTGTGATGTTGTGCTATGTGGGGGGTAGGGGGTTAAAGACACATGAACTAGAATGTCGTTTAGATGTGCTTAGAAAGGGATGAGACACTGGAATAGGTATGTGTTTGCTTAGGGCAGAAGGTTGCAGAGAGGTCCATTTGGTGCTTTTATTTGTGGGGGTGCGGGGGTGGTTCTACCGTTTTGTGACAAGAAGGGAGGGGGTGGGGGTTGGGCTACATGGCATAGGGCATTTATGGTCGAGCTCTGGACCAGGTTAGTTGACCGTCAACAGGTTAGGGATATAATAAGGGCTTAGGATAGGGAGCGAGTTAGGGATATGGTTAAGGCGGCTAAGGATAAGGTTTAGGATAAGGTGTGGCATAGGGTATGAAATAAGGTACTGGATAGGGTATGAGATAGGATATGGGATAAGGTATGGCATAGGGATAAGGATAGGATTTGGGGGCTGAATGTGGAGCTGGATATGGAGATTGATAGGGATATTATAGGTATAATATATATTCTAAAGGGGCAGGGGGGTGGGTTAATTACCCGATTGACAGGAGCTAATTTATCAGGGGTTTGGGGGTGGGGGTAAATGACCGGATGGTAGTTGACGGGGGGGGGGGGTAATGCCTTAGGCCCAAAATAGTATATTTTAAAAAGGATAATAAACATTTGCAAGGAAAGAGAAAGAGAGGGAGAGACGGAAAAAAATGTAAACTCGATTTGTTTTTAAAATTTAGTTTTCCGTGAGCTACTTAAAATATTTTTATCCTTATTTCATAAAAACGTTTCTGGCCACTGACCTAGATGTTTAAACCAGTGGGCGCAGTTGATCGCTGGTATGCCAGTTCTGTAATTAACCACTCGAAATGTTTTATCTGTTTAGGTCACAAGTCCACAACAGTCTAATACAGGGGTTCCCAACCCTGTGCCCGCGGGCGCCATGGCGCCCGCTGAACGATTCGTATGTGCCCGCCTCTCACTATTTGACAGAGACAGAATTTTTTTCAAAAACTTTATTTTTAAATATGATTTATTTTTATTCATTTGTTACAGTTTTAATTTTTTTTTTTTGACTGCCTAGGTTTATTAAATATGTTCGATACTTGTCCCAACTTGTCTAGCGGCGAGCCAGACTACATTATTTACGTTTTGTAAATACATTTCTCTGTGTGTATGCAATTTGAAAAAAATGCCAAATAATTTTATTATTTTGAAACATTTTGTTTATTATTTATTAATACATTATGAGTATAAGAAAATAAGAAAATAAATTATGGGAAAATGACAAGTTATGGAAGGAGTTTGTCGATTTAAAATAGGTGGTGCCCACCACCCTACCGATATTTAAAAATGTGCTCTAGAGAAAAAAAAAAAGGTTGGGAACCCCTGGTCTAATACAACCAGGAGAAACACACTTCACACAGCTAGTTAGGCTCATCAGAGTAACGTAACGACATCATCAAAACGACATCACCCACAATTTTTAAATCAATAACTTCTGTTTATTAAGTATGCAGGCGGTACGCATTAAAAAAAAAATGGGACACTTCTTGAAACAACTTTGTTGCCTGGCGCTTATAACTCAGGTAAACTTTCAAATACATGCAACTGAATTATGGAAGCTTACTTATGCTGTTTTTTTTTTATAAGTGGGAACACGTTTTAATTTTAGGGTCAAGGTTGATTAAAGGTATGATAGCAAAGATTAGTTTTGGGGACATGTCCTCGTGTTAACTGAAGACATTTGACAAAGTTAGGACAGGATACGGAAATACAGTGTCGTTGATGACGATATACGGAAGTTGCGTCACAAGGCGAGGCCAAGGGAGAGGTTCATACTGGGTGACGAAAATAGGTGGGGTGACATCAAATTAAAAAATCGTAAAATTTACTGTCAAATAGAAGAATTTAGTGTCAAAATAATGTTTTATCTAACTAAATTAACGAAAGAATAGGGCAGACGGGTGACACCAAACCAATTTGAAAAAAAATTGTTGTAAATAGAGGGGGGTGGTAACACCCTTCTTACCGCACCAGATGACACCCAACCTAGTGACGCCACTGACATTGGGTACACGATGACCTTGCTCTGACCAACTGACAACTACACCGCTTAGAGATAAAGTTTAATATTATGGCTACGTTTAGAGGCAAGGTATCGTTAACGACGATACTAGCTACACAATTACCTGGTTATGACTAATCGATTCTTAGATCTTCTCTAGTCATTCATTCACACATTTTTTTCCCTAAACTATGCGACAGATGGGCTATCCGTGTCATTGTCCCGAGATTATCATAACTGCTCTCTCTCTCTCTCTCTCTCTCTCTCTCTCTCTCTCTCTCGGGGGAGGCTTGTACTGCTCTCATTGTGCCCCCCCCCCCCAACAACACCGCACCCCCCCCCCCCCCACACACACACCAACACAAAGACCGGAGGATGATTTAGTGATGGGCTGACCCACACAAAGACCGAGATATAATTTACTGAATGGTGTATTGATTATTCTTCCTGTCCCTTATTTGGATGGGTTTGTATGTGTTGGTAGTTTTTGTTTCAAAGGGGTACGTTCACTTTATTTCCACGATATTCGCACCTTAAGGCAGAACTATAAAAACTTAAAGCTGATTCTAAACGTAACCTGTCCGACTACTTAACATTACATTCAATCCTTAACTTAATGGTTAACCTTACCACGGTCTAATTGTGTCTAATTGGAACGTCGCGGAAGTGGATGCCTGAATCATGTGAGGGAAAGTATAGGCGGAGGGGTAAAGTGCTGACCTCACTCTCACTTCGTATGCCGAGGTCATAGAAACAGGTGAGCTCTACTTCACTTACCCATTGGACCGTTATGTTCGAAAAGGGAACGTTACTTTAAAGAAGGTAGGCCTGTATTTATACTCATTCTGTCACCTCATCTGGTGAATTAAACTGGTCGTCTATAAATGATTCACCCCCCGGGGAAGGGGTGGGCTCAGAGGCGTAGCGGGGGGGGGGGGGGGGGGGGGGGCGGGGGGTGAGGACCGCACCGGGTGACACCATTTAGGGGGGTGACACCAAGGCAAAAAATAGCTAAATATATAGAGAAAAACTTGAGGGGGGGGGGGGTGCAAATCGAAAGTTTGAGAAGGGGGGTGCAAATAGAAAATTTGAAAGTTTGTCCCCGGGAAGCGTCGCTACGCCTCTGGGGGGTGACACCATTAAGTGCTGCACCGGGTGACACCCGACCTCACTACGCCACTGGGTGGGCTAGAGGGTGCAGACGTGAGCATTTATGCAACTAATAGGCAGGGGTTCACGGCATGGGACATAACTTTTATTTCATTTTTTTGTGTGAGTAAACTATGGTAGAAAGCCATGCTAATTTGTGCGATAATTTTAGATGATTTATAGGCCTATCCTATAGTGACATCATTGGGGGGAGGGGTAGGGGTGTCTGGTTTTTTTTTATATGAGAGGTGGATGGGGTAGGGTTGAAACCCAGTGTTTCTTCCAAACTTTTCTCTCCGGGGGTGCTCTTGAAATTTTCGAGGGGGGGGGGGGGTGGTGGACTAAAATTTCCGGGGGGGGGGGGGGGGGTGGACACTGTCAAAAGTATATATTTCCTATATAAAAATTCCATTCTATATAAAAATTCCCCCCCCCCCCCCCGAAGAGATGCCTGGAAGAAACTCTGGTGAAACTCGATATAGAATAACATGTCTCCTTTTTTATAAAACGCAAAACTTACCGCTGAAGTAATCTAGCCATTAGTGAACCTACTCCACCTAACGCAGAACGTGTACAACTAAGACTGTTGTTTGAACGCCCTAACAAGGCAAAGGAAATCCTGCTGGGTTTGTTGGGTTAAGTATCTGTTTCCCTCGGATGTCTCGTTAAAGATAACAGCCAGATAATGAAATGTTTTCTCTTGAACTAGACACGTTCATATTTCCTCATTTCTAAAAATGTTAAGAAATAAAAACGATCCTTCAATTTTTATATAGATTCTATCCTTTATTTATTTGAAAAAAAAATTTAACTCCTTTTTTTTAATACATTCTTTATTTTATATCAAAACATTTCAATGTTTATACAACCTTTAGTTTTTGATGTATCTGTTTTCATCTTAATATCTCTATTTGTTTAATCCAAACACCCGGATAACCAACGGTGTTTCAGGCAAATAGCAACCGGCTATTTTGGCTCATCAATGATTTATGGATTCATTGGGTGTCATCCCGTTGTTTGGATACACTTTTTCAAAAATTGATTTTTTTTTGTAGCCGGTAGAGCTATATGTCATTGGTTTTTTTTCATGGGGTCAGGTTAGGGACTGGGGTCAGTTAGAACCACAGTCATGGGGGTCAGGTTAGGGACTGGGGTCAGTTAGAACCACAGTCATGGGGTCAGGTCAGGGTCAGTTAGAACCACAGTCATGGGGTCAGGTTAGGGTCAGTTAGAGCCACAGTCATGGGGTCAGGTTAGGGACTGGGGTCAGTCAGAACCACAGTCATGGGGTCAGGTTAGGGTAAGTTAGAACCACAGTCATGGGGTCAGGTTAGGGACTGGGGTCAGTTAGAATCACAGTCATGGGGTCAGGGTTAGGGTCAGTCAGAACCACAGTCATGGGGTCAGGTTAGGGACTGGGGTCAGTCAGAACCACAGTCATGGGGTCAGGTTAGGGTAAGTTAGAACCACAGTCATGGGGTCAGGTTAGGGACTGGGGTCAGTTAGAACCACAGTCATGGGGTCAGGTTAGGGACTGGGGTCAGTTAGAAACACAGTCATGGGGTCAGGTTAGGGACTGGGGTCAGTTAGAACCACAGTCATGGGGTCAGGTTAGGGACTGGGGTCAGTTAGAACCACAGTCATGGGGTCAGGTTAGGGACTGGGGTCAGTTAGAACCACAGTCATGGGGTCAGGTTAGGGACTGGGGTCAATTAGAACCACAGTCATGGGGTCAGGTTAGGGACTGGGGTCAGTTAGAACCACAGTCATGGGGTCAGGTTAGGGACTGGGGTCAGTTAGAACCACAGTCATGGGGTCAGGTTAGGGACTGGGGTCAGTTAGAACCACAGTCATGGGGTCAGGTTAGGGACTGGGGTCAGTTAGAACCACAGTCATGGGGTCAGGTTAAGGACTGGGGTCAGTTAGAACCACAGTCATGGGGTCAGGTTAGGGACTGGGGTCAGTTAGAACCACAGTCATGGGGTCAGGTTAGGGACTGGGGTCAGTTAGAACCACAGTCATGGGGTCAGGGTTAGGGACTGGGGTCAGTTAGAACCACAGTCATGGGGTCAGGTTATGAACTGGGGTCAGTTAGAACCACAGTCATGGGGTCAGGGTTAGGGACTGGGGTCAGTTAGAACCACAGTTAGGGCTTACACTAACGGAACCAGTCCTGAACACTTCCTGTCGATGACGTAATAAGTTCCGACTGAGCCGATGCCGAGGCTGTTAAATCCGATTTACCCCCAGGGAGGAGCAGAAATCGATGATTCTAGAAGCAAATCAGTGGAACTTACAGGAGGGGTGGGGGTAGGAGGGGGTAGGGACAACTACTTGTTTGTAAAGGCTGACTACTAGCAATACTATTATACTTATCTATTTGACGTCTATATAGGTGGTATCCTGATATAATTGAAGAGGGTGTATTTTCCAGGGGGGGGGGGGGGGCTTAAGAAAGTGAAGTTTGTGTAGTTTTTATAATATTATAATATTTGGCGCGTTGAACAGTGACCTTGAAATACAGTGGCTGCGAAATTTCAACAGTTTGCAAATCATTATGAATTAAAATTTTTGTTTAATGATTTTGGTTGCGAATTACGGTTTGTTATATTCTTAGATGACAGAGGCCTAGCTTTTATTTTAGGGGCTGTGCATAAATGGACTCAAACAACTAGAAAAGTAAGTATGTGTATGTGGGGGGGGGGGGAGGGGTTTATGTGACGACATTAGACGATATACATATATGTGGGGGGGGGGGGGGGGGTAAAAATCTGCAAAATTGCAACCCCATGATATACGGGCTAACACTAGACCAGAGCAGTAAATTTTTAAAAAATCGATTGAAAAAGAAATAAAAGCGTCTAAAGGACACGTCTCTCTTCTGTATGTGAATCATTGGGAGTGGCACTTAGCACACTCAGACCGCAAGTAAACATGCAATAAATTTCTGATAGAATAAACTCAACACAATGAAAGTGTCTTGACTGCTTTAGCGTGGTGTGTTTGTGTGAGTTGTAGTACGTGTGTTTGTTATTGTGTGTTTGTGTGAGATGTAGTATGTGTGTTTGTTATTGTGTGTTTGTTATTGTGTGTTTGTTATTGTGTGTTTGTTATTGTGTGTTTGTTATTGTGTGTTGTTATTGTGTGTTTGTTATTGTGTGTTTGTTATTGTGTGTTTGTTATTGTGTGTTTGTTATTGTGTGTTTGTTATTGTGTGTTTGTTATTGTGTGTTTGTTATTGTGTTTGTTATTGTGTGTTTGTTATTGTGTGTTTGTTATTGTGTGTTGGTTATTGTTTGCTTGTTATTGTGTGTGTTGTTGAAGGCGGGTTTGTAATTTTGTGTTTTATGTTATGCGTGTTTGTTAATTCATGTGTTTTTCGTGTAAAAAGTATTATGTGTTATTGCATGTGTTTTCATTGTAATACATATCCCCTGTAAAGTGTAGAAATTTATTATACAGTAGAAACGTATTCTATAGTAAATGTTTGTTCTAAATTATAAATTAGTTCTATCTTATAAATAAGTTCTACACTATAACTTAGTTCAATAATATAAATTAGTTCTATAATATAAAGTTGTTCTTCAATATTAATTTGTTCTACAAAAATTTTTTTAAATAATATTTTGTTCTATAGCATAATATAAATTGGTTCATTAATATACATTTGTCCTATAATATTTTGTTCTATAGCCTAATATAAATTGGTTCATTAATATAAATTTGTCCTATAATATTTTGTTCTATAGCCTAATATAAACTTCTTCAGTAATATAAATTTGTTATATAAGATTTTTTCTATAGTCTAATATAAATTTGTTCATTAATATATTTTTTTTTCTATAATATAAATTAGTTCTACAATATAAATTTGTTCTATAATTAAAATTTGTTCTATAATATTTTGTTCTATAGAGTAATATAAATGTGTTCATTAATATAAATTTGTTTTATAATATAAATTTGTTCTATAATATTAACTTGTTCTAAGATATAAATTTGCTCTATAATATAAATTTGTTCTATAATATAAATTTTTTCTATAATATTAACTTGTTCTATGATATAAATTTGCTCTATAATATAAATTTGCTCTATAATATAAATTTGTTCTATAGCCGAATCGTTATTTCCCATTACTTTACTAAGGTTAAGTAAATGTAACAAGTGACAATTTAAAGTAACAAGTGAAAGGAGGGAGGGGCAGGAGAAGGCATGTGACGTGAGTACTTGAGCGGTGGCGACCAGCACGCTACACACGTCTGACCCAAACTGTGTGCTTGGTGTGAGCAAGTTGACCATGACCCACTTACTGCACCACTGCAACACAAACATCCCCGCTGCCAAACTCTCGGCACCCTCTAAAACTGCTGCAAGTCGTATGCTTTCCCTGGGGTTCAAAGGTCGGTTCAATTGTTTAGAGAACATACATTTTCTAGTTAACTATTTCTGCCAACAAAATTCAAGCAACTGCATTCCAGGGTATAGAATGCTATCTAGAGAGATCTAGTTTAGTACTGAATTCTTGAGCAGATGGCTTTAACTGTAGTAACTAGTTCGACATCATCTCATATATTTCTAGAACATTTTCCCCTTCAACACACACACACACATACGCCACACACAACCACACACACATTATATATATAGATACACGTGTGTATAATAATATATACACACACGTATATATACACATTTATATACACAAATATACATGCATACATATATATATATATATATATATATATACAAACATACACACTCACACACACACACATATATATATATATATATATATATATATATATATATATATATATATATATATATATATATATATATATATATATATATATATATATATATATATGGCAAAAATTGTCCGACACTAGCTATGACATCCATTCAGGCATCACTGTAGCTCTACAGTCCATGGAGGGCTACAGCTTGTCATTGATTCTCAAATATCCCCCACCCTTTTTCCATCCCCCCACCCGTAACACCTTGTTGGATGTGTGACACAAATGTGTCACTTTGGATAGTCTGATGGTAATAACCCCAGCACATGTTTCACAATTGCACTCAACGTTTTTTTAAAAAATAGAAATGAAAATCCAATGTGTTGGTCTAATCCTTTAATCCGGAAGGTTAGGCTTAGGGTCAGGATTAGCATAATTTAAGTACTTCGATTGCAACCTCTGCAATTTTGGTCTAACCCTTCAACAGAGAAAGTTAGGCTTAGGGTCGGGATTAGCACAGGCTAAGTAATTCGATTAGAACGGCTGGAATGCAACACATGCACGCTGGAGATTAAAGCTAAGTCGAACCAGATTAGATTAGGGACGGGGTGAATCGAGCGCTAGAGAGGTTAAAAACATGTATCAATATAGATCTAGTACCTCCCTTGGACTAGTAGAGAGATGCTAAAAACATGATCAATATAGATCTAGTACCTCCCTTGGACTAGTAGAGAGATGCTAAAAACATGATCAATATAGATCTAGTACCTCCCTTGGACTAGTAGAGAGATGCTAAAAACATGATCAATATAGATCTAGATCTAGTACCTCCCTTGGACTAGTAGAGAGATGTTAAAAACATGCTCAATATAGATCTAGTACCTCCCTTGGACTAGTAGAGAGATGCTAAAAACATGTATCAATATAGATCTAGTACCTCCCTTGGACTAGTAGAGAGATGCTAAAAACA